TATATGTATATGTATATGTATATGTATATGTATGCATGTGTATAGGTACTAGATGTACGCTTGTAGGTATGTATGTATGCACCTACGGACGGACGGACGGACGGACGGACGGACGTATGTGCGTGCGTGCATGCGTGCATGCGTGCGTGCGTGCGTGCGTGCGTGCGTGCGTGCGTCCGTAGTATGTACGCATGTGTTTACATGTGTGTGTATATATGTGTGTGTGTATGGATGGGGGGAGGGATGGATGGATGGATGGATTTATATATGTGTATTTTGCACACGTATTTGCATATGTATATATGTATGTGTATGTGTATGTACGTATATGTTCCTGAAACAGTGCGCATCCCCGGCCGCTTTCGCCTAGGACAATACTACTCCATGAACCTGTTGCATGCACCTAGATACTGGTCGAGCAGCTGGAGGCATGTAGCTCCCGTAAACTGCATGGACCTCTTCAGAAAGCTCACTACTCAAGAAAACTGTTCATCCGGTGCTCCATGTAGCATCTGCAGCTGAATCGGCTCGCAAATCGTATTCAAAATGCAACTGCGTTGGTCTGATGGTTGAGCGGTGGACTAAGTGACTAGGCGGTACCTAGCCCAGTTGAATCTGAAGGGTCTTTGTGGAGCACTGCCAATTTGTTACCATGTGGTTGCCCTTTTTTTCCGTTCCTGTGATTTTCCTGCACTGTCCGAATGTGAAAAGGCTTTCTAGATATTCGGGTGATTCTCTTCTGTCAATTGAAACCTTTCCCAGCGATATAATGTTTCAGGATGTGGGCAGAAAGGTGTCAACCTCCCACTGGCAAGTGAAAGCCAAATAACAGACCGAAGTCACAACGACAGCAAGCTCGCAAGTCATTGGCCAAGGGTTTCAGGTTTTGCCAAGCAGATCATCCCTTGAGGATAGAGTCTACTCACTACAGAAGCATCCGGTCCACTCCGAACTACTGGAGAGGTGGTACAAACTCGGAAGGAGCCACAAGGCCTGTTCCTGTAAATGAGAAACCAAGCGCTCCAAGATCCAAGGTTGTCGATATAGATGTACGTACTCATGTTGTAATTTCAGATCCAGGGCCTAGAACGGCCAGGTGACTTGGGGCCATCCGGATCGAGGTGGCCTTGTAAGCCTCTTGGAGCCAAACTTCCTGTCACGTATGATAATGTTGGGTTTCCCATTTAGTGCGCTATATTTGTCGGCAAATTTGCGCACTCCTCAGACCAATTGCTTGAGAACGCTGCCAGCCGCAGGCTTTACGCTCCGATTCTATTTTTCTGAAACTGGTTGGCTCGGGAGTGCAACTCAGACGGTGCCAACGAGCTTGCCGATGTCAAGCAGATCCAGGCATCGGATATGCGAGTCAGGCAGAGTACCAATGTTATCCAGTGCTTCTGGTACACGGAGAGTGCGGGACTGGGATTGACTGTAGAGACCGCGGTGTTTGCTTTCTTGAGTAGCGGAGACTCCCTCATCTGCAACTTGCCCAAGCCAGTTTGTCTCGACGGACACGGCAGGCCCGAAAATCAACAGCGCAGCATAGAAGCTGCCAGCGATTCTAGTGCTATTCCAGTACTGCACCTGCGCACGAAATCGTCCAAGATATCCCGGGTGCTCAATGCTCTCACGATCTCTCACGCAGGGTACTTTCCGCGCCTTCGCCGTCATTCGCTCAGATGGGTCCGTGACGACCTGGGGCGAAGCAAGCTTCGGCGGCGACAGCAACTCGGCCAAGTATAGCCAACAGGTGCAGGAGCCCCAGATATGTCGTGACAGGCCAAATGGTCTCCGAACGGCTGAAAGATGTCATCCAGAGCCTCGGCGTCATGTCAATGTGTCCTCGAGTAAGGGTGGGAGCTCCATCTGCTTGGTTGTCAAAAGCTCAGGATTGAAGCAACCGGTGGCGCCTTTGCGGCACTGACGGAGGACGGAGACGTGGCACCCTGGACTGTGGCTGGAGAGAGAGAGAGAGAGAGAGAGAGCTTCAGAAAATGCGGCAGTCGGCCTTTCTGTGCAGATTCACTTGTCATTGCTTTCTGAAACATCGGCCTTCAGTTTGCTCTGAACGTCAGCCTGCCTTTCTAGCGAGCCGCGAGCCGCAAAAACGATGCTCAGGTGACCTGGGGCATGGAGCTAGCAGGGGGTGACACTGCGGCCTTCCGGCACGAGCTCAGAGGCAGGCGGGTGCCTGATCTCTTCGAAGGACGCTCACTGCGAGAGTCCCAATGGGAAGGACACTGACAGGGCTCTGCAAATGCAACAGCAGCTCAACAACAGCACTTGATGAGATTCCAGCAACAATCTTGCGAAATGTCTTCGATGATTTAATTAATCTAGTTACCATCTCAAGGTGCTGTAGGGCAGCCCCAGATCCTCAATCCTGGACCTGGCATCTGTCAAGGCATCTCGAAGCTCAGCGGCGGCTCCTTGGCATTCGCCGCGCTACGAGAAGAAGGCAGCGTTGTCACCTGGGGCCATGCCCAGCTCCTCAGCAGGCCCTTAGCTAACTATCGGCTAGCTGCTCGCTGCCTGAATGTTCAGACTCTGCATTCTGTTCGGACTGGTCTTCTTCGTGCTTGCAATATGACAACCGCTTGTTGTTGCACTATCGACGATGATGACTGGCAGATCATGGTCGCCCTTGCTACTGCTGTTATTGCTGTTTCTGTTGTCATGAGTGGTTCCTGCTGTGAAGAATTCTACAGGCCTGGGTTTTCTACAAGCATTTCTGCTTTTCTCGCCTTGAGAAAAAACCCATTCTGCTGCAGGAGGACCCGTGAAAAGCAAGATTCTGCCGAGGATGTCTGTTTCCAGGCAGAAGAAGAGGTTGACAGAGTCTCTCCGCCCAGGTTCGGGGGAGACAGCCGCGCCGTCCAGGACAGCCTCACGGATGTCAGGCCCGCCACGCTGAAGTCTCGCAACTTCCAAGGAGTTCGAAGAGTCTGCCAAGGTTTTGTTCTGTAGCTTGGGGCACAGTCGCTTCACTGGTTTTTTTCCGTGTTCTTCAGTTTTGATCTTCATCTTGAGTTCAGGGCTCGTATTCGCAGAAGCATTGACGTTGCTTTTGTGCAGAATTACGAACGCCGGGCCTCTCAAATTTCAATATCGGAAGCTCTGCTGATCCCCTGCCGCTCTGGGGTATGTGCTGTCACACAGCTGAAGTCCGCCTGGGAGTTACGGGTTGGCTTACGTGTAACTTGTTCCCACTCCGATTGCTCAGGGACGTTGTGTCAACTGGCGGTGCTTTTGCCGCTCTGCTGGCTGATGGATCCGCCGGAAACTCAATTGAACCGAAGTGCTGCCTTCCAACGAGCATCCCCCACATGCATTTGCTGAAGCCGCCCGTTTCGCTTCACCAGCGGACTCCTTGAGAACACGGTATTTTGTGCACAGGTCGTGGCCTGGGGCTTCGCCGAGTGCGGAGGTGACATCTCCGAGATACGCGAACAGCTGCGACTCGTTCCAACAGACCCGAGAAGCCTTCAGCATCTTCAGCCTTCAGACTCACGGCGCTCGCGCGTACACCAACCGAGTTTCATCGAGTTTCATCAATGTTCCTCTCTATGGTATGTTTTATCAGTTTCTTCTTTCTAAGCAGGCAAACAAGCAAGCAAGCAAGGCCTTAAAGGTTAAGAAGCCCCAGAATAGAAGCCCCAAGCTTAAACCCCATAGAAGACTCCAGTGCAGTGGAAAAAGCTGCTCAAACAAAGAGCCATAGACGCTAGCCATGGCGTCCGGCCCCCTGGCCTCAACATCTGTCCGTCAAAATCTTGGCGGTTCCACGGTACTCCCTCAACTCGTAACCCTGTAAACCTCAAGCCCTTAACCGAAATGGCTAAACCTACAACCAAAACCCAGTGCTATGGCGTCTGGTCCTCAGCATCAGCAGACAACCCAAGCATGACCCCCAGACACCAGAACCACCAGGACCACCACCCCCATAGTCGCTTCCGCCATGCTGTGGCACGGTTCAGTTTTTTACAGACGCCATTACCAGAAAGTTTCCCCGCCACCGTTTGCAGGCACCATCCGAACATCGTTCTTTGCCGGTGCTGGCCAGCTTCAGCGTTGAACAGCACCCATGTCACAATGCTTCCTCGCCTTGTCTCGTCGTTCAAGCACTTTCAGGACTCGTTGATAGGACCACTATTACTATGCTTCCCCCAACTCCAGGCCAAAATGCGGCGAATGCAACCAATCAAGCAGGACAACGGATAAACAACGCAACCTTGCACCGATAACATCAAAAAGCAAAGCAAGCAAGAAATTGAGCCTCGCATGACCGAGGCAAGGCGTGCGGCAGCTAGTTCCTCGGCCCCGTAAGAGCGAAATAAGTATCGGAGGATTTCAGTTATTCTTTGTCTGCGAGCGGCCATAGGCCTCCGGCGGGGCAAAACTCGAGTTCCTTTCTTCGGAGTCCGTGAGATTGACTCAGATTGCGTTTATCATTTGGCGCACTCGCCAAGGCCAGTGAGCCGCCCTGCAACTTCGTGGCCACGCTCTCGAACGGCGGCACCGTCCGATGGGGAGCCGACTCTGTACCAGTGGCCTTGCAGCTTGCCATGTATTTACAGAGTCATGTTCACGCTCCAGCTGTGTTCTCCGTGTCCGTCCGTGTGTTTAAGATGTGTGTGTGTGTGTGTGCGCGTGCGTGCGCGTGTCTTGCACTCAGGTATTTTGCAGTTCGCAGCCTGTCGGTGAACGCCAGATGAAAAAGACTTGCGATGCACGAATGCCTCGAGTTGCAACGGACGTTCAAATCCAGCAGTTCTGGGTTCGGGCTCACCGGTGTGGGAGCATGGGAGAGCTTGGAGTGAGACGCTAAACACATCTCACCACAGAGGAATAAGATCCCAAGTTCACGACAATCCCGAATCTACCCCAGTAGCTTAGCAAGACGCTGAAAGTTCAACGAATCCGAGCGCCCGAACCGGCCCAAGGCTCGAATGCCTTCTCCTCCGAGCCCCGCTCGACAAAGCGACTGAAAGCTCCCTTAGGTGCCCCACTGGGCTTCGACTTTGCAGCAATCCGACTGCATTCGAGGATTGAGACGAGCGGCATAAGGTTTTGAAGCAAGTGTAAGTACAGATAGCCTGGAATGGGGCTTGGCTCGTCACGAGAACCTGTGCAAAATAAAGCTTAGCTACGTAGCTTTCACATGTAAACCTCCAAAAAAAGCCCGGCTTGCTCAGATCAGCTGCCTGGCAGTGTCGCCCAGCGTGGTCTTCGACCGCTGCGAGGGCCGGGGCCGGTCGGCGGTGCTCCTGGCAAGGCCAAGCCAGGGCTTCTCGTCGTGGCCTCATAAGGGCTGAATTACGGCGGTTCAACTGCAAGTGCCCCCACCGGATAGCGACGACAATGCCGAACTCGAAAGGTTGTGGTTGGGCAGTTCCCAGCAGAGCTCTGAGATGCTCTGAGTAAGTATAAGTGTTGTCTCGTTTGTGCCTTAGGATCCTCAGGTTCTGTAGTTTTTTGTTATGGAGTTCTGGACAGTAGACTCCTGTGAGCCGTAGACAAGCCTGCCACACACACACACACGTCCATACAGTCATGCATACATACATACATACATACATACAGACATCACGCTTTCACCTTTCAAGGCAAAGAGTCCGGGGTCGGGCGCAGCCGTATTGGCATGCACCAATTAAAGCTGGGGAGGTGCCGCAGAAATCTACAGAAGTCAGGAGACCGGAGTCAGGGTCATCGGGTGCAACGCCTCGTCGTCTGTGGGCTCAACCCCTCGCTGAAGGACTTGCAGCCGTTGCCCTGTCAGCTTTCAGTGTGATGATCCAGATGCGCACGCCTGACGAGCCCTTGTTCTGTTTGATGACGCACATCTGGAAAGCCCGCGTCTTCTTGAAACCAGCCGCACATTCCTCTGCCCTGCAGTATGCGAGCGAGTCCTCCAAACCAGTGTTCAACATGGCCACCTTGCACAGCGTGTCCTTCGTGACCGTAGCCGGCAAGATGCACCCATGGCGGGTGCTGGGGCACAGCAATCCTCCGCGCTGTGCGTCAACGTGGGCCCTACGTACAGACACACACACACACACACACACACACTTGCTACTCGATTCTCCGAGAGAGGTTCACTTCTGAGACTCAAAGGAAAAAGAGGGGAGGTCTTCACTAGGCCGTGTCCCTCCTTTTTTCATACTATTCAATACGTGGTATGCGCGATTATGCGCGCACAGGGGTGGCGAACTTCCCGCAGGGGCGATCTCTGCGCCCGGCCGGCAGCTTGAGAGTCTCGTTATTTTCGAGGGGTTCCAGGCTGCGTGAGGCGCAAGGAGTTTCCGAACGACATTCATCAAGAACTGAGCCTTTTAGGAAGAACGCGAGCGGTTGAGGTAAAAACCGTTGTGCCATGTTGTGCCTCAAGGGCCATTTAATGAGGTGCCCCTCTTCGTCACCAATGCAGCACGAACGCCTTCTGCATCTGCGGAGGGTGGTGTCGGAAACACCTGGGTCGCTGGGCTCAATAGTCGCTTCTCCTTGCTGAAGTGCTCAGCTAGAGATGTTGTGCCGGATGGTGCCCGTTCATAACTTTGCAGGTGCTGGAGTCATTCGTGGACCTTCAGAACACATCGGCAGTGCTTGCTGCATCTTGGCCAAAGAAGGCGCCCAAAGCGCTCTGGTTTGGCCGGTTTTTTCAGACAATTAGACTTCTATTCATCACTTCCCGCATGCGTTAAACCACCCCAGAAATCAAAAACACTTTCTGGAGAAATCCCCTGAAATCATCTCCGCCTTTGAATCAATGTAGGGGGATGGAAGAACAAGAGCAGGAGTTGCAGCATGAGTAGGAGCCAGAGCAAGCGCAAGAGCAAAAGTAGGAGCAACAGCCATAGCAGTAGCAGAGGCAAGAGCAAGACCGCCGACAGGAGCAAGCGCTGGAGCAAGAGCCAGAGCCGGGGTAATGGTCAGAGCTGGAGCAAGATCCTCCCAATGACAGTAGAGTTAAAATCCGCCGACTCATACAAAAAACTCTTCGAGTTTTTCCTAGAACAAGGGAAACGACTAGACTATCTCCATCTCCCCAACTTTGGTGCACCCTGAACACCTGCTTTGTTTTTTTTATCGCCGACGCAAAGTGACACTCAGGCCCCGGCAGACCTCGCGCGCCAGCGGTCGCAGGCACAGTTTTCTCTGTCTGCACCAAAGGGTGCAAGTGGCAGAGAACTCGGCGTATTCCTAGATCTGTCGCAGTGCCAGGGGCTTTCGCTATTGATGTACTCTCGGCGTCTCTGAATGTCAGTGATGTCGATGCCGCCACATCTCCGATCTGTAGGGCTTATGGTCAGTGTCAGCTAGCGGGGACATGAACTACTGGAGCTGTGGCCCAACAGCCTGCCTATGGGAAGAGTCTGTGTGTCTCCGAGCCAATACTGCGGCTTTCGCTCGGCAGTTTAGTGAGCTTGCACTACAGGTGCCCGGCTACGAGATTCGCGATCTCCTCGAGGCGACGATCGGCGGAAATACGCAGCGTGCTGCCTGGCCGCACCAAGAAGGGCTCCAGCTTTGATCATTTGGGTTGAAAGAATGCACACTTCTTGAAGGATGGCTAGGACTGAAGCTGCGGATACGGATAAGGTCTTTTACTTGCTCTCCTCCGTCCCGTGAGGCTGTAGTCACGACAATCTTCGTGTGGTTCGTGGCCTCGCAGTTGCTCGGCTTTCACTTGCCCTCTCTGATCACTGCCGCATGTGAAGTAGATTGCAGATGACCCAAATGGTACACATGGTCACTCCTGTGGCCATGACTGGGTGGCGACAGGATTTCAACCGCGACCCCTGCAACCCAGCCGCAAGGTTCCTCGACATTGGCTCCGCGGTGGAACTACATGCCCCGCCAGGATACGAGCCGCCTGCCCACGAAGCCAAATTCGGGATCCTTCACCGAAGTTCTTCAAGTGCTTTCCACCCGAGGCTTCGCTGCAACCCACGCGTGCAGTACATCAGCCTCCCGGCCGGCTCCTGCAGCCTCATCTCAGGTTGGCTCAGGGCTGCTACTCGCAGCATGCTTTGTTTTCATCCCGATGCCACGAGGGAGATGTGTACTCGGGATTCCCTTGGAGCAGGTGTCACCTCCACCACCGGCGACGTGTTTCATCAGTACTTGTCTTTGGCTTTGACATTGCCTGGACAGCAAGTGCAGCCTGACTTCGTTGGGTGTTGGCGCTGGTAGTCAGAAAGGCTATGACCGTAGCCACTCCAATTCCTTAACTCCTTGGTGACTGTCCATTGGCTGAATGAAATGTTCGGCATCCAACAGAGTTCCGGCATGTATGCAATGATCTGCGATGCTTTGGGAGTCGAGGCTTGTAGAGAACAGGAAGAAGCTGCACAGCACTCGCACGAAGGTACCCCAACACTGCCTACGAGTTCGGGGTGGCTGCAGTCAATCCAAGTACGGCTGCGACACCGAACTTCTGGGGCCTGGTGCCTTTGGCTGAAGCCCTGACTGAACCCTTGAACCCTTTCTGTCTTGCTCCGGAAATGCTCTGGAGGTTTTGCGGAAGCCTGGCGGCGAAGTGGCCGACTCTATCCGCACACTACCGGGCTACGCCGCTTTGCAGTCCGAAGAGATATTTGAGATGCATCTTGTGGTTTTTGTTACAGAGACCTTTGCCGATGCTGAGATCTTCTGGCAGCATGTGCGACGTGCCAAGTAGAGTGCCGAGCCCAGGATCTCACGGACTTCCAACTCGACGTGCAGACCCCGCTGCCATCCTCCACGCGGCCTGCCGTCGCTATCCCAAAAGAACTGACACTTTTCGGGCATCAAAGCCCATATGAACGATGGCTCCAAATGCTTGACGAAAGAGCAGTGCGGTGCTGTGAGGTTGTGAGCTTCGTGCGCGTTGCGCTCACATTTGCAAGGCCGCATCTAGGATTTCAAGAGATTGAAATTTTCCTTGGATAGTAGATGGCCATGCACGGAATCGAAACTGCAATAATAAGCAGCCTACTTCAAATCCAACGTGCAGGGAGCTTGCTCCAGGACGAGTTGCGCACGACTTGGCCTCAGATGTGACAGGGCTGGGACAGTTGGAAGGGCAACAGCTCTAGGATCCTGCAGAAGAGTACAACGCCAGCAATTGACCAGAAAATGTCTTAAGACGGTCAGCGCCACGACATCCTGACGAAAATTTGTCATTGCTTCCAAGCGACAAGGTAGAGGCAGCCAAGAGATTCTACTTCATTTCGACTCGTACTCGTAATCCTTTGACTGGCGCACCCGATACCACAGCACTCAAAGTGACCCGAACCGCCTCAGCCCGGCGCAGCCAAAATCCAAACACTGCTGGGCGGCCGTATCGATCAGCCCACAAGGCCCCAGAAGATGTAGTACAAGTAGTGGTGTTTGTAAACTCGAGCTTCGGATTGTGGACTTGCTTTTTGGGAGGGAGGTGGAGGCACAGGGGGGACTATGACGACACTGTTACACAGACGCCCCGAACAAAATCTCCAGAAGACCCGTTTTGTTCGGTATTCATAGTACTTTCGTGATGTCGGACTATCTTATATACTCACCAAACCTACTTCTGGACTTCGCGAGCTCGACCTTGGGAAATCGGAGGGCTTTCGGGGAAAACTGGAAATTGGTTTGGGGGAAGCTTTCTTCGGGGATGATCACGACACTGTTTCGCGCACACCCCGAACAATATGTCCACACCCCAGCGCGCACACACCACATACCACTTCAAAAGAAACCCCTCGCAAGCCGCGGTCTGGGCTGTAAGGGTGTTGACGAGCCCCTCCCACGTACAGCTGGCATCTTGCGCCTCAGGTTTTGGGAGTGTGAACACCTTCTTGGCAGCACCTGCGTTTTGCAATTTATTTTCAGTATTTTCGTACTATCCGACCACTTGTGGTTTAGCTGTTTCGTCGAGTTTGCAACTCCAGCTGCTGTCGCAGTTTTGGGGCCTGAGCCTCTGGAACTTCACCGGCTGTGACGGTTAAGGAAAATGAGCCTCCGCAACTTCTGCAGTTGTCACAGATAGGGAGCCTGAGCCCCTGCATCTTTTGCAGCTGTCGCAGTTAGGGAGCCTAGAAGCTGCCACTGCCCAGCCCGGATGGAGCAAGTGTAGTTGGTAAGGCGGGGGGGCGGGGGGGAAGTGGCTAGTAGTAGTAGTAGTAGTAGTAGTAGTAGTAGTTGTTGTAGTAGTAGTAGGCGCCCCCCCCTACCAACTACACTTCCTCAAAACCATCTTAGGAGCACGTCCGTTTTACTTGGTATTTACAGCACTTTCGTCACGTACGATGATCACAAGAAGCCTCAAAATCGACTTGCCGAGTTTGCAAACTCGACCTCTTGATTTTGGACTTGCTTCTGGGGTGGGGTGGTGGGGGGGGTGGGGGATGATGTCGACAGTGTTACGCAAACACAACCAACAATATCACCACAAGAGCCGTTTTGCTCGGTATTTAAAGTACTTTCGTGATGTCCTACTTTCTTATATAGTTGCCATCCCGACTTCTGGTGTTTGTCTTCAACTTTAGTTTCTCGAACGGCGTGCCGAAAAAACTCGACATTGGTTGGGGGAACCGTTTTTTCGGTATTTGCTACTTGTGCACACGACTCAGCTTTTATTCGTATTTACAGTAGTTTTGGTGATGAAATGTGTTTGCATTTCGGTGCTGTTGGTGATGAAATGTGTTTGTTTTTCCGTGAGCACACAACCCAGCTTTTACTCGGTATTGACAGTACTTTAAGTGATGTTGGTGATGAAATGTGTTTGATTGTTCGTGATGTTGGTGATGAAATGCGCTTGTTTTTTTCGTGATGTTGGTGGTGATGATGTTGATGACAATGACGATGTGTAGTTGGTAGGGGGGGTGGCTAGTAGTAGTAGTAGTAGTAGTAGTAGTAGTAGTAGTGGTCGTAGTAAAAAGGAGCAGTTGCAGCATCAGTAACGGTTGCGGTAGGCGTGGCAATACTAATATTAGTAGCAATAGTAGTAACTGTAGCTGTAGTAGTAGTCGTCATCGTTGTCGTCCTACTAACCGTCTTAGTACCGGTAGTATTAGAAGGAACAAATACTGGAAAGAAGAGTAGTTGTGCTGTCCTCGTGGTGGCTGTGGCCGCAATAGTCGTAATGGCAGTGGTAGTGCCAGAGGGAAATGCCAGTGGCTGTGGCAGTAGTAGTAGCAGTAGTAGTAGTAGTAGTAATTGCAGCAGCAGCAGTAGTAGTAGTAGTAGAAGTAGAAGTAGAAGTAGTAGTAGGTCTTCGATTTGATACACCAGGATAGGCGGCTGTTGCAGTCGACCCATGGGCCTTGCAAAAATTGGACCGTCTTTCGCGGCGTCTTTCACAGATCTTTCGCAGATCTTTCGCGGAAAACCTACAACGATTTGTCAGAAATCTGCCACACTCTGACGCTGAGGCTGGTTGCTGTAGCAAGACCCGCTCACAAGTTTGGCTTGGCCTGTTCCTGGCCGCAGAATCGCTAAGGCAGCAAGTGCCCACACAAGTCCATGCTTTCCAAGCCTCAAACCCTGGGGTTGTGCGTACTGCGGCACTGGGCCATAAAGAGCACACCCACAGCATGTTATTAGCATGTTCTGAACGGGTCTCCTGTGTCCCAAGTCTGATACGCGAAAACTTTCGCAGATTTTTGCTTGCCTTTTGCAGACCCATCGCAGATCTTTCGCGGACACGTTGTTTTACATCGAAAAACCGTTTTGTACAAATCCGAACACAAGCACCTTTAGATATCTTTAGATGAATGCTCTAATATACAAAAGACAGACAGACAAACAGACGGACCGACGGACCGACGGACGGACGGACGTGGACTCCCAGTGGAGGAGTTGGCAAACCTGTTGCAGGAAGCTGCAAGGATGGCTGCACCACCAACAAATCCCTCACCAATGTCCGTCGCATGTTGGACAGCCGAAGCCCGAAACGGAACTTACAGTGCAAACACCGGCTAGCTCTGCGGAACGAAAGTGGTCCATAGAACTACTGCTGGACATCCCTGCATTGAAGCGTCATTGATGGCGGAGTGCTGTTTCTGATAATGAAAGGTTCCCGGAATTATGAGGGGCTCCTCGATGACCAACCCTCGGTTTGTCTCGCAAACCCTCGCTTTATGACCGGTAAGCTGAGTTCGCAGATGCTCTGGCTTAGCACAAAACCCAGATGCTTCGGGCACGTCTTGCTTGCCAAAGCATGCGTGTTTCTAACAAGTCTGAATATGTGATGAAGTGCTGAACAAAAATGAAACTGGGCAATCAATCTCTCGGAAGGAGCTGGAGTTAAGAAGTGGCCAGCTGCATGTTCTCGGATACTGTCGCGGCAGCGTTCTCTGTGGTGTCGGCTCAACAAAGCTATGCTGGCTGACAGCAGAATTATTGAGATGCACAGGAGTGCTTGGGACGATCATGCAGCTCCTCTAAAAAACATGCTGTCTCGGTTCAATCTTTGGGCCTTTGGTGGGCACATTGCCCCCGGCCATCCTTTCATGATCACTTGCTATCCATCCGTTTGTCCGTCCGTCCGTCCGCTTTGTTTGAGTCAACGCAAGCCAACAGAATTCATGAAGCAAGCACGGAATCCCGGATCTGGTATTGAGACGGCACTGAACCAACTGACGCTCCCACCAAAGGTCTAATATTGACAGGTGATGTGGAACTATTGCGGGCCGCAGATGCTGATAGTCCCAGGCTGCATCATTGAGCTGGTGTGCTTCGATCCATCCACCGCCACTGTGAAGGTCGCCAATCCAAAACCACACACAGGCTATAACCTTAAAACAGATAGTCAACAGCACAAACACGTTGCACATGCTCCAGACTCTAGAAGACCTGCATTAAACGGCCAGATAGGAGAAGCTGCATGGTTGACAATCAAGAGCAGGGCTAGCATCTTGAAGATGCTGACAACTATGCTGATGTACCTCGGAGCAGCTCGTCCAAACGCACAACGAAAACAACATCAAAACTGGGGAGGTCGTCTGTGGGCATGGAGAGCGCCAATCGCACCGCGTCACTCGGAATCCACCAAATCGCTGATACTTTCCATGGTTTTTCTCAGGCGTAGGATTCGCACCAGTCGCACCTGAGGTGTCGCATTCCTAGTGCGGGTTGGGCTTGTGCTGGCTCAGTGAACGGCCAAGCGAAAGTGCCGTCGCGACGTCTGAGCACCCTACCATCCGAAAGAGGCGGAGGCTTCGCAGAAGTTTGACCGAGCTTCCAGCTGAGGACTCAGATGATCCATCCGAAGATGCAGAGAGTGAGAATATCCAGTCTGAGCCAACTACGATCAGGTCGATAAGAAACCAAGTTTTGATGTAATGGAAAATAACTTTGTGGGGAACCATTACGAATATCCCTTTGTCTATGTAGCCGACGAGGCAGGAGATCAACATGTTGATGCTCCAATACGTCAAAATCAACCACTGCATAAAGTTGGAAATATCTGTATTTGGCGGTTCGAAGACTTGCATGGAGATTGTGAAGAGGTCATGCACGATCAGCCCAGCACCTGCAATATCCCAGGCCAGCTTCAAGGGGCTGCTCGGAAAGATCATGAAGTGCCGAAAGCAGCCGTTGTATTCCTGAACGACCATAAGCTCTTCTGCGTCGTCAGAGCTCGGAAGTTTTGCATCTGCACCGCTGATTCTGAAGCCAGGGTCCTCTCCTCTGGTCCACGTGACAAGCGGTTGAAACTCATGATGCTGCACATCCGAGGGCCCCATGTTAGACTCCAAATACTCACTTCGTTGCATTACGAGGCGTTTGCGTTCTGCGCCGCTGAAGTAAACGAAACTTGCAGGTGCAGAGCGAATACTTTGAATCTGGTGCAACCGATGCTCTCGACCTGATTCTGCATGATCTGTTGGTAGTTGAAGCTTAACATGCCCTTTCGTCTCCGATGCGCTCTTGTTCACCGGACTTCGAGACTCGCTGTCTAAGTTATCCCCTGTCATCGACGTAAAACCAAGCAGTACGGCTTGAGAATGTACCCGAGCAGGAATCGGCACTGCATCCGGATCTAGACAGCTGCGTC